TTTTTTATATTATATTTATGTAATGAGCTATATTTTATTAATTATTTTATTTCATTTTATTTTATTGTAAATTAACTTAATTTTGTTTATGTGTGGAGAGCACGTGTTTCCCTTTTCTTCTAGCCAACGCTAAGGAGCGAGTGTCCAGACCGCTCCTGGTGTTCTTCATTAATTTCCGATTAACATTAACGGATGTTTTCCAATACCGTCCGTGATGTTTGTAATATTATTTGTTTAAATATTTTATTTTATTTGTATTGCCTTTATTTGTAGACATGGTTTTTGATGCATTCGCATTTTTGTCCATGTTTAACTTAATTTTCTTTTTTTAACAATTAAATTAAATTTCCTTATTAATTTCAACTGTAATATTTATTTTATTGCGCGAGTAACTTAATTACTCGCGTGTATTTCATTCCTATTCCTTAATCTAGACACGGGCTACGGTATGTTTTACATATCAACCACATACAACTTTGATTGTCATAATTGTGTTCTATAAACCACGAGGCATTATAGTAATTTATACATATAACGACATATTAACTTAGATTATAATTTTAATTCACTTAAAATTAAATTCCACCTATGGTCCGGTAATCATATCTGATAGGTATGACACCTCGCCTAGGTGGTGGCGACCCTTGCTACTCTAGCTAGTCGTTATGCAAGTTGCAAACCACGTTGTTGTTACAGGCCGATTTACTAATATAAAAGCCCGCTTGCAAGTTTTAAAAACTATTCGTATATATTGTGTAACTATCGAATATTTTTACTATTCGAATATTTTTTGAATGACTATCGAATAGTTCGATAGTTTCTATTCAATATTTCACATCACTAGTTATAACTTATTGAAAAGTGTATGGACCAACACAATTTTTTTATGAGAAATAATATTTATATCCCTTTTTCATTCAACATATTCTATCTCAATCAGGATATTCATAAGGAAATAGCAAATCATGTAGCTTTTGGAATAATACACCAATTTTTTAAAATTAAAAACTATCTAAAGATTTGCATCGAAGCGTTTTTTTTTTGATAGTGATTTTAATAAAAAAAAAAATATAGAAAGTTGAAATTTACATTGAGCTCTTCCCAAAATTTAAACATTTTAAGCCAATTTACAAACCTACTTGTACATGTATTATCATGACTCATTAAATTAATGAGATTTTGTTAGCCTAGCATTTAACTTATTTTATTTTTAAAAATAACGTTAAACTATTAACCGGTCAACGATTTCAATAACTTTATTATAATAAATTTTATAAAAATCATTAATTTTCCTAGTTTTGAATTTTACATGAAAACACTTAATATTTTAAACTATTTTGTATTCTTGAAATATTATTCATTACAATAGAAAAAACAGGTTTACACTTATAAATGGGTATAGAATATCGAGTAAACAAAATATTTATAATTTATGGTAGACAAATATTAATTAAAATCTATTAATATTTGATTTTTAAAGGAGATTAATCCAATGTCACCGCGTAAATCTGCAATTGAACGACGAAACTATATCAGAGAAACTTCTTTTGCCTTATTATGTTTTGGCATATTCTTTTGAATTTAATTGCCATGATGGAATTAGTAAAATGTATAAATATGTTTTAAAATCGTATTTTTAATTTTTTAGGAACAATTATAAAATTAATTATTTTAGTTTAGATTCTTTTTCACTCCACTTAAGTATAGTACAGATCAAACATTTTTTACAAATTTCTCTAGATCTTTCGAAAAATTTGCATTTGGATTTTTAGGAGCTGTATAGTATATGAGTCCTCCAAAACAAATTTCTCAATCTACGCCAATGTCTTCTCAAAATTGTCTTAGTAATGAATTCATAAGAAGGTTATTGTTCGTCAATTTGATTTGCGTGATCATAGGGCTTTTGATAAAACTACCAGAATATTGTTTAATCAATTTAAATATTATTTCTAGTGTAGCTATTAAACCATAAATACTCTAATATTTAAATTACATAAAATTATTTTAAGTAAAAAAAGACTTTCTTATCTCCTTACACTTATACCACCACCATATAGTTAGGGATGGCAACGATATATCGATAAGTTCGATATATCGATATATTGTTTTGATATATCGATTTTTTTATATCGATTAAAATCTTTCGATATTTATCAACAATCGATGTTAAACATTCGATATTATCGATATATCGAAAATTACAAATTTACAATTAATTAAAATTATTGAGGTATAAATAATAATTTTTTTTAGCAAATTAATGATATTTATCATGATTAATGAAATCAAACAATTTACTAGTAATATATAAATGATAACAATAAATTGTTAATAATACTAATTTATTTTTTATTTAAAGCTTATTGGTTGTTATATTTTATGTTCCATGTTTTGTTGTATAAATATACTGTTCAATAATAAAACAAATTGGCGCGGCAGCAAAGTGTCATAATATTTGATGCAATTCTGTGTTACAAAGATTTTCAGTAATTTTTTGTATTTATGTACTTTGTATAATTATTTGTGATGGGTAAAATAAGTAAAATTTGGCGTCATTTTGACAAAGTCAATAAATTGTCTGCTAAATGTAAAGTATGTGGTAAAATATGTTTAACGTCTGGCAACACATCTAATCTTCACTCTCATCTTAAAAATGCACACCAACTAAATTCAAAAATAAAGGAATCACAAAAAATTGATAGTGATGATGCTGACCAGATTGACAATGTGTTAATTGTGAGTATAATTATGCTATTAACATGACTTTATTTCAAAATTTATATGAAATGTAAATCTATCATAATTTTTTAGCAATTTGACATTCCTACTTCATCAACTAGTGAAGCTAGTGATACTCTTTTGTTAGATATCTCCCAAAGAAAAAAATGCCAACCTTTAATTGAGCACTGTTTTAATTATGTATCATCAATGAAAGGTAATCAATTTGACTAATGAATTTACAATTAAATACAATTTGTTAATAGGGCACAAGTCTATTTTTTAAATATATTCAAAAAATTCTAACAATTATTTTTCTCTTAATAAGATTTTATTTCAAGACTTATTTTACTATTAAGGTTAAATAAAATGTATAATAAATTTAAAAAAATCAATTTTTATTTTAATAATTTTATAAAAAATGAATAATTTAATTAAAATTTAGTATATTCTAACATATTATAAATGTATTCCAATACAATAAAATAAAATTCAAATGGTAGTAGAATTACTTCATCTTAAGTTTAGCTTTAAATTGAAAAGAAAAAATTTCCTTTGAGAATGTATGTATGTATGAATTATTATAATTTACCAACTAAAAACTAGTTTAGGAAAAAAGTAACACATGCCCTTTATTATTAGAATTGGTTTTTTATTAAATTTGTAAATTTTCATAGCAGGAGGAATGAAAAATTCAGAAATAACTGATGCATTAATTTATTATATTTGCAAGGATAATGTACCATTTTCCACTGTTGAAGGAAGTGGATTTAGACATTTTTTACAAGTGTCTTGTCCCCTTTACACAGTTCCATCTAGGAATACTATAAAAAATAAATTGGATTTAAAATATGACTATTTATCTAAAGTGTTTTCTAATAAGTTGAAGAAAAACAATAATTTTACACTAACATCAGATATTTGGACAGATTTTCAAATGAAAAGTTATATTGGTGTTACTATACACTTTTTAGAAGGCACTCAATTTATATGTGGTATTATTTCAAATTACTTATTATGATCTAATTATTTATTTTTACGTATTTATTAATTAAAATGTATAAATGTTTAAATATTAGGTACATTAGGTGTACATGAATTAAGTAAGTCTCATATATCTGAAAATATTAGTGAGGCATTTGAAATTATTATGACTCAATGGGAAATTAGTAAACACCAAATTATTGCTATTGTAACTGATAATGGTAATGTCTATTTATTACATTTGTGCACAACATTCACATTAAATTTAAATTGTTCTTTTTTAGCTGCAAATATGAAAAAAGCAGCTAGTGATACATTTGGCATATATAAAACAATCCCATGTTTTGCTCATACTATAAACCTTATAGCTAATAACGCATTAGAGAATTGTATTGATTTAAATAAGTTGATTGACAAAATTAGAAATATTGTAAAATTTATAAAAAATAGTGTTAATGCTAATGATGAATTAAGGAGTATCCAAAAAAATGATGGTATAAAATAAGATGTAATGTTTATTATGTTTTAAAATATTGTTTTTCAGGTTTACCAGAAGGAAAAGTGTTAAAATTAATATTGGACATCAAGACTCGTTGGAATAGTTTATATTATATGATAGATAGATTTTTACATTTGTATCGTGTTGTTTCTTCTATTTTATTAGAAAGGCCAAATGCACCTGATTTAATAACAACTAGAGAAATATTGATTGTCAAAGAAGTTAAAAATTTGATGCAACCACTTGAAGACTTGACAAAAAAAATCTCTGGTGAAAAATATACCACAATTAGTACAATTTTACCATTGATTAATTGTATCAATAGTGCGGTGAATAATTGTCAAACTACATCTTTAATTGGTATTGAATTAAAAAAAAATATATTATTTGAACTTGACAAGCGTTTTAAGAATCTAGAAATATTCAATGACTTTCCTCTAGCTACATTACTAGACCCCAGGTTAAAATTAGGTTTTAATAAAATTGAAGATGTTAATTTTATTTAAATGTTTCTTACAGATTCAAGAATCTTCATTTCAAAGACCCTGTTCGCTGCCAAAAAGCTATTGAAGTTGTAAAAAATATGTTGATACAAAAAGAAAACTCTGAATGTGTACATTGTTTTGAACCTACTCCATCAAATGAACTTGTAGATAAAAAATTAGATTCATTTGATCTTTGGTCATACCATACTTCAGTATCAACCATTCAGGTTCAGAATAAAACATCTCCAATGTATCAAGAGGTTTATTTAATTTAATATCTTAATAATCTTATTTTTATTTACATTTTATCTTAATATATTTAGTTGTATGATTATTTGGGAAAGCCTGTAGAAAAAATAGACACTAAACCCCTTGAAGCTTGGGAATACATGAAATCGTTATACCCAAACTTATATTACATTGCTCGTCAAAAATTAAGTATTGTTGGTACCTCTGTTCCATCAGAACGCTTATTTTCCAAAACTGGTCAAACAATATCCAAGGCAAGAAACAGATTAACAGGGAAACATTTATCTAAGCTTGTCTTCATGAGCTCTTTAAGTGAAGCAGATTGGTTTTCAAAAGTCTTATAATTAAAAAAAAAAATATATATATATATATGGTTATATTTTTATTTTATAAAAAGTATTAAATATCTTTTATTTTGATTTTTTTTTTTCAAATAATGCGTCTACTTATTTTTGTTTACATATTAATTTTTTTTAATTTAAGTAATTCTATTTTAATTATTTGAAATTTAATTATAAAATACAAGTCATATAAGGCTATAATAATAGATTAAATAAATTTAATTTATGAGGTTTTATAAAAAAAATGAAGTTCAATATTCTTTAATTTAAGAAGAAAGGGTCAGCTTGGCCTATATGTGAGTAGAAACATAAATATTGGCGCACGGTATCCCGGTTTCGATCACCATGCTGCCAACAAGATTTGTGATTTTCTCATTGGCGATAACCAGTCTCTGGTGCAAGCCGGCCATAATACCCGTCCTGTTCATCATTGGCTTAGCCAAGAATTATTTTTGACTATGTGAAAGAGAGCCACCACCCTTTGTAGCATATTAAATTCGGGAAATAGAAGGATAATAAAAACTTATCATTATTGTTAATTTAAGAATAAATATCAATTTCAAATAAAAATGAGTGATAACCAGACTTAAAAATTCACATTGGAACTACGATTTTAGTTAGGTAAACAATTTATTACTATTAAAAAATATGAGGGTAAATGTGTTCATTCAAACAAATTATTTTGAATTTTTCTATCCAACATGTGATAATGGTGTTAGTGATACAGGATTAAATTAGTTTTCCTTTAAATATCGATATTTTTGTTCGATATATCGATGTATCGATATCAAACTGAACTCTATAAATCGTTATCGATAAACTATAAACAGAATATCGATACTGGTTAATATCGATATTGTATCAATTTTTGCCATCCCTACATATAGTGTCATTATCTATGGTGCTTCTATCTCATTTAGAATGTGAATGATAATTTAACATATAAAAGTGGTATTTTAATTGCTAATTTATCGCGCATTTATGATAAGAAAAGAGAGATAAAGGATCGTTTTTTTTATTCTTCAGTAAAAATTAATATCTTCTTATGTTCTGTAAAGAACTATGTAAATTAATTTAATATATTTTTACTTAAGTTATAACAAACATCATTTTGGTGTTATAATACTTAAATAATATTATGAATTAAATAAAAGACTATAAAATACAAATGTATTGATGATGAAATTTAATGTATGATGATAAATCATCGTCGTAGATATTGCAAGAGTAGTTACAATACTCATCACTATACGTTTAATGAACATTAATAATTAATGGTAAAAATATTTTGTCTCAATCCTTTACTATGTTTTTATGTAGTTATAAGTTATTACTTAAAACTCGATTATATTTCTTTGTGAGTTAAGCAAAAGTGGTTAAAATTGAAATATAATTAGTGTTAAATATTTTTGTTTAGATAATTTTAAGTCATACAATGATGTACATCACTACAGTTATTTTTATTTTACTATTAAGTATATACTTGTACTATAAAAATATTTATAACTATTGGAAAAAAATGGGAGTGTATCATATTGAACCTGTATTCTTTTTTGGCAATGCTAAAGAGAGGGTTATGTTCAAGAAATCATTTCATGAATTTCATAGAGACATTTATTTTAAGTTCAAAGGACATAGATATGCTGGTATTATGCTTGTAACGTTTTTAAAAACAATGCTATTAATTTTATTATTTAAATGTAGGGTTTTATCTTGGAAGAAGAGCTTCATTAGTAATCTTAGATCCTGAAATTATAAAATGTGTTATGATTAAAGACTTCAATCATTTTACTGACCGCCAAACAATGAGATTTCGTACATCAGAGTACATAACTCAAATGTTAATAAATCTTAAAGGAGCAAAATGGAAACGAATGAGACATTTGTTAACACCAGCTTTTACTTCAGGCAAACTCAAAACTATGGAACATTTAGTTGATGATTGTTGTAATAATATGATAGAGTTCCTTAATACTAATACTAATAATGGTAACTTCTGTGTTAATTTTTTTTTATTTATTACTTAAGATGTTTCGGGTACATGGCTTTTATGTGAAAGTAGAATAATTAACATTCAGTTTAAGACTCAAACTTTACCCTGTATTCAGTTATTAAGCATTTTTTTACTGCCTTTTACTTGGTACTTGGTTTGTATCTACATTTACTACTCGGAACATCTATTTATTACTATATTGTGTAAAATCTGTTAGAAGTTTTATTTTAAATTTTAGTAGATGAAGCCAAAGAATATGAATTAGAAATGAAAGATTTTTTTGGTAAATTTACTTTAGATGTCATTGCTACTTGTGCATTTGGTGTTGAATCTAATTCTTTGAGAGAAGCCTCTGGGGGCTTTGCTAGTCGAGTATCAAAATTTGCAAGTTTAAGCATTTTTAAACGTTTATTACTTTATATTATTCTTTTATTTGTACCTGGAATTGCAAGATTTGTACCACTATCATTCTTTAACATGGAAGTTATTTATTTTTTGGCCAATGTAATTAAAGATGCAAAAACTCATAGGCATGTTACTGGACAAAAGTTAGTAAAATAAAAAGAAATATTATTTATTTATAGAATATCTTACTGACTATAAGTTAATTTAAATAATTCATGATAACTGAAATTTTTTTCTCAATATTTCATAATTAATATAATTACTTTCACTAATATGATTCATTAGTTAAATTAGTAGTATTATTTTAGTAAAATTTAAGTTTGCAAAAAAAATCAAGTTGATTTTTTATATTGAGCTAATGACTAATTATAAAAATGTCTATTAATTTATTTTAAGGAGAAATGATTTCTTACAGTTATTATTGGACGGTGAAAATGATACAAATAAAAATGAAGAAAATAAGTTTAAAGAAGGTGAATGTTATGAAATTAAATATATAGCTAGTTTGTAACAATTATTTTTTATTTAATAATCATTATTTTAGATAAATTAACTGAAACACAAGTGATTGCACAATCTGTGTTGTTCCTTATAGCAGGATTTGAAACATCTAGTACTCTTATGGCATTTACTTGTTATGAAATGGCACTTAATCCAGATATTCAGACTGAACTTAGAATTGAAATAAATAAAGTACTAAAAAAATTTAATGGAGAATGTACTCATGAAGCTATTCAAGAAATGCAGTTACTAGACATGATATTATATGGTAAGATTACATGTGTTAAAATTATAATACAGTGTCATAGGTGTATCTTTAAATTAAGTCCTCAATTTAAAAATTTTGAATACAATATGTGCATTGATAAAAATATGAATCTTTAAATAAACTGCTAAACTTATTTATATTTCCTTTTTTTCTTATTGTGTTATAATAATTATTTGAATTCAAATTCTGTAAGTAAAAATGGACTGGGTACAAAGGCTAGAGAAATATGCTTCCTTTAGTTACTACAGTAAATAATGGATAATTCAAGAGAGGTCTGACAAACTAGATTATGTTTTTTTGAGGGTTCCACTATTATATTACATTGTAATTTTTAGAACTTTTTTCCTTTGAATCCAAACCTTTCTAAAGGTTAATTGATAACAAATTTATTAAAAGTAAATAATATTGTATTAGTGTCATATTACATACTTAATATATTAACCTCATGATTTTAATTAGTGATGGGAAATATCGAATAGTAACTATCAAACTATTCAATAGTCATTCAAAAACTATTAGAATAGTAAAAATATTCAATAGTTACAGAATATATTCGATAGTCTATTCCAATAGTTTTTAAAACTATTCAATAGTCTATGCTAAAAATAAACTATTCGGTGTATAAACAATTCGAATAGTTAATCAATAGTTTGAAATGTCCATCACTAATTTTTACTATTATTAATTGTATAATAATTTATTTTAATTATTCGTTAATTATCTTTTTATTATAATTAAGTGTACTTAATAAAAATTTTAGGTAGAACTAATCGAATATTTTTTGAACTATTCGGTAACCCATTCGAATAGATTTTAAAATTATTTGATAGTTTATGCTAAAAATAAACTATTCGGTTGTATAAAAATAATTTGAATAGTTATTCGATAGCTTAAAATATTTGAAAATGCCTATCATTAATTTTAATATATTTTTTATGTCATACAAATGTACATAAGTGTATTATTTTCATTTTTCAATACTGTTCCCAAGAACTAAAAAATAAATTTGGTACTGTAGTATATTCTTTAACTAAATACACATTTAGTTAAAAACAATATGTTATTTTAGAAACACTTAGGAAACATCCTCCTGTAGCTCAACTTGAACGTGTATGCACTCAAGATTATAAAATACCAGATTCTGATTTGCTTATTAAAAAAGGCACTACTGTACAAATCCCTGTAGTTGGACTCCATTATGATCCTGACTATTATCCTAATCCTCACAAATTTAATCCTTATCGGTTTATTCAAGAAGAAAAGATGCAGCGTTCTCAATATGTTTTCTTACCATTTGGGACAGGCCCCAGGAATTGTATTGGTAAATATGTAAAAACAATTAATTTATATATTTATAATAATTATTTTATTATAGGTTTACGATTTGCTTTGATGAGTACAAAACGTGGAATGGTAAATTTAATTAAAAATTTTACTATTGATGTGAGTAATAAGACAACCATTCCATACGAATACAGTAAATATTCAATGTTGCTTAAAGCTAAAGATGGAATTTGGCTGTCAATCAAAAGATTATAATTCTAAGTTTTTTCTTGTATCATGTTTGATTGAAAATAATTTGTTGAAATGTCAGATTAAATTTATGTAGTTTTACATAAACATTATTATTATTAGTCTTAGTTATATCATATTTTTTTTTTTTTTTTTGGTAATACATAAACAATTTTATGTAATATTTAATTTAATTTAATACTACGAAATTATAAAAATGGACTACTATTGTTTTTCCTATACCTTTCATATATGTTAATGGTCTGATAAAAGAAACAAATCAAATTTTTGTATAGACAAAAACTCAAACATATAGAATTAAAGATTATGTTTGTTACAAGTTCTGTTGTTTGGTTTGACAAATTTATATATATAAAAAAAAATTATTTTTACTTGAAATAGTTCTATGTTATTGGCTAAATTGCACAATAGTATAACACTCATTGAAAAGGTATTTTGTGTTTTTATAAATAAAACTATACATATTGAAAATATGTTAAAAATTTTCAATTAATGGATTTTTTATTTTTAATATTGTTAAAATTGTTTCTTACATTTCTTTATATGTGATTTTCTAAATATAAAAAAATTATTTTTTGATTCGTTATATCATATACATAAAATGAATGCTGAAATAAAAGACCAATAATTAAATGTTAAAACATATGTTTTCATACGTGTACAATGTTTTTATACAACGTAACACATTAACTCTTTACTTCCTAGAAATTATAGAGATGTATTTAACTTCATACAAGAATTGATTTTAATATTGTAATAAAATAATAATTTTTTAAAACTAAAAATAATTTTTTTAAATTATGCTATCTAAGAAATTTTATTCAATAAGTAAAAAGTTATTACTAAAAAGCTACTAAAATTCTCTTCTATGATATTTGTCTGGGTCCATAAATGATGTAACTACAACTCTATTGTTGAACTTTCGACCAGCCAATGCTTGTTGAGCTTTTTGACAATCAGTAACAGCATTAAACTCAATAAATACCTATACATAATAAAAGTGAAATACCGATTACTATAATATTAATATAATTATTACTTTTCCACAACCAGGGACATCAATTCCTTCAATGGGCCGCGGAATTTCTAATGATCGCACTACACCATATTTATTACATTCTTCACGAATATCTTCAAGAATATCATCATATTCTTCTTCATCTTTCAATTCTTCAGGTGTTACCATATTTAATAAACACAAAACCTGCAACAGTAAAACATAAAATATTATATAAATGCAGTACTGTATTGTTCATTAGTTAATATTTTACTTCTGTAGGAGGTCCAGCAGTTCCAACAACAGTCAGTCCCGGAACTTGTATTGTAACAGGAACATGAGCAAGACCAGGGTTTTTTGCCCCAATACTAGCTCTTTGTACTATTAATTTTTTTTCTCCTAATTGCATACCATTAAGACCAGCAATTGCCTAGTAATAAAAATAAATTATTATTTTTAGGCAAAAATAACCTTAATTTAAATATATATTAATTACCTGGTCAGTCATTATAACATCTGCATATTCACAAAATGCATATCCTTTACTCAGTCCCGTGGCAGCATCCTTAACTAAATTAAATGCTTTCAATTGACCAAATGATGTCAAAAGTTCTTTTACCTATTGTTCATCAATTTTCATTTAAATAATTTTAATTAAGATTATATTGATGATCGAATTTTTTGAGAAAATAAAAATTGCAATTGCAAGTTGTTGAAATAATTCTAATATAATAATATTTAAAATTAATTATTAGAATTATTTATATGGCAAAAGTTTTCTGTTAACAGAATCATTAAACAATTTTTCTGTTAAAATATCTAGTAAAATATCTTCAATCATTTATTAAGCCAAAGAATTTTAAGTTTTACCATAAGTAAAATTATTAACAAAATAATATATTTTTATAAAAGAAATTTGTAACTGTACTATTATAATTGTAATATATTAATTATTAAAAATATATATGAGTGGAGTGACTAGAGAAGATATGATAAGGAACAAATATATAAGAGGCAGTATAGGTGTAGCATGAATTGTGGATAAGATGAGAGAAAAGACTTAGATGGTTTGTTCATGTTATGAGGAGAGAGGAATAGGAAGCTGTAAAAACAATTCTTCTTCTTCTTCTTCCTCGCCTTAATCCCAACTACTTGGGGTCGGCCACCCTTATCCTAAACTTTCAATTAACATAATCTCCCACATCATCTACGATCACATCAGCTGTCCTCAAATCGCATTCAATAGCATACCTCCAACTCTTTTTTGGTCTTCCTCTACCTCCTCTTCCTTAAACATTCATTTCTATAACTGTTCTTAAAGCTTCAGATACTTAGATTCAGAATTCTTAAAAACAACGCTTTGATGCAAATCTGTAGATAGTGTTTAATTTTAAAATTTCAATGGATTATTACAAAAGCTGCATGATCTCCTATTTCCTTATTTATTGTTCTCTCCTCATAGACCAAACCATCTAAGTCTATTTTCTGTCATCTTATCCACGATTGACGCTACACCTATACTCTCTCTTATATGCTCGTTCCTTATTATATCTTTTTTAGTCTCTCCATTCATCTATCTAAGCATCCTCATCTCTGCTACACTCATTCTCTGATACTACTTTCTTATCAACCGCTCAATACTCTGAACCATACATCATAGCTGGCCTTATTATAGTCTTGTAGAATTTACTTTTCAGCCTCATTAGAATTCTTTTACCGCAAAAGACGCTAGACACTTATCTCCACTTCAACCACCCGCACTTAAATCTGTGTCTTACATCCTCGTCAATACCATCACTCTTTTGCACAACTGACCCTAAATACTTATAACTCTCCACCTCTCCAATCACGTCCTCGCCTATTCTCACTGACCCTCTCATTTCACTTACCTCGTGTTCTCCTTTGTCAAACTCGTGCTCTGTATACTCTGTATTGAAGCTGTAAAAACAATTATAGAAATAAATGTCGAAGGAAGACTAAAAAGAAATGGAGGGATGTTATTGAATGCAATATGAGGACAGTTGATATGTGTGTAAATGATGTGGGAGATCATGTCAAGTGGAAGTTTAGGATAAGGGTGGTCAACCCCAAGTAGTTGGGATTAAGGTGAGGAAAAAGAAGAAGAAGATAAGCAGAGATGTACTGAATATTTGGTTATATTATAAGTTAAATAACCATGTTTATATTATTTAGTATATTGATTATAAATTAATACTATTAATGAGTTTTGTACAGCATATCTGTAAATTTTTAGATTTATTGTAGTATAATATTTGCAACATATTTATACAATATTGTGTAACACCACTTGCCTGTTTGTCGATTTTGGACAAGGTAGCCAAAGCAGTTGCATCAAACTTTCAGTTTTCAACCAAAATGCCTAGCTAGGGGTAAGGGGTATAGCAGAGGAGCAACTATTATTAGGTTATACTTATTTTAGCAATTCAATTCTTTAACTTTTATTGATTTAATGTTTTGACAATTTTTTATACTACTTACATTTGTTTTCAGACAGAAATAAAATAAAATGTATTGCAAGCATAACAAAAAGCCATTTAATAACTGGTAAGGAGAATCCATGTTCTTACGTCGACCCTAAATAAATACCCCAGGTCCCTGAAAATCTAAACTTTTACGATTTAAAACATAAAAATGAGTTTAATATTTTTCTGCTGAAAATTATTTAAAATAAACCTGAAAATGGTATGCTGAAAATTAAAAAAAAAAAAATGTTTTTTTTGCTAACTTCTCCTCAATCCTTTTTGCTATTGACCTAATGAACCTCTGCTAATGATGGACTAAAATTCTCAAAATATAAAGCACAACATAATAATTTATTCTTACCTGATCATCATTCAGATATGCAGGAAGACCACCAATAAATATTTTATGAGGAGAATCTAAAAATATAAATTATGGTTTTAAAAAGTTGTATTATTTTATATATATAATTTAAAATTTTACCTGGGACTGTACCAATTCCAAACGAACTTGAATCATATTTCACTAGATCAAAAAGGATAAATATAAACGATTAAAATAACATAAAATAAACTTAAAACTCATCTTACTCATATCTAAAGTCATTCCTGAACTGTAATTGGTGACAGGGTTACTCTCAGTCATTCCTGGTGTAGGTTGGTAATCATGTGGACGACGAATTTTTAATGTTTGGCCTCTAAAATTAATTCCATCAAAGGCCATTGCTTGTGTTGTTTCATCAATAGATCTAAACTGCAATTATATTATAAAAAAAGGCAGTACATTTTAAAGATACTTATATAATTTTACCTCTAAGAATGCAAAGTTCTTATCTAAATTAATTTGACAAGCAAGTACGGGATTACCCGCAGCTTGTGCTAATCCTGACAAATGCATTTGTTGATTAAAGAATTCCATCATTTCATCCTAAAATAATACATAATATATTATTAATGTCAATCATAAAATGAAGATACTGTTAATATTGAATACCTCAGTTACTCCAAATGGTATATTTCCAACATATAATCGTCTAGCTTGTCTAGTAATTGTAGACCCAACAACAGGTACAGCTGTTTGAGGAATATCCGGCATAGTGTTAGCTGGTATTTGTCCAGCAGCTATAAAATAAATGAATATATAAGTATGGGGCGTACAGTTGATATCTAGATAGTACCATTAATAAGGTCTAGAGGTAGACAGCAGTATCATCTAGTATCGAAGCAAAGTTTTTTACGAGTTAAAAAATTCAAGTGAATCAAAATTCAATGGTACATTAATTATATTAAACATATAAGTAAATTAGTTGGTCTACAATGTGTACGTATAGATGTAATGAGTTTGCTAAGATGTACATTTATGTATTTTATTTATATTTTTATGTTTTAAAGTAGCCAATAGTATGTTTGTTGATATATGTTTTAGAATACAGTATTTTGTTACTAATTATGTTTATAGATATACTTTGTATTTAAAAATACATAATTCTATAAATTTACTGAAATTTCTTATTGAGAATTTATATTATATGTCTTAACAATTACTATATTTAGAAACATAACTATGTTACATAAACACGTTAATAAATCATATCATATTTATAAGCTATTATTTGCAAATATTTAATATTGTAATTATAAAAATGGAATATGAAACAATATTCATTTAAATTTATAGTTATATTAAATAAAAAAATTTGCATTGTTTATTCTTGAATTGTTTTTTTGTTCACCCATCCAAAACTACTGATAGAAGCTTTGTTTTCCTCATGCATCAAAAATCAAACACACACATTTAATTTTTAAATATACAGATAAAATTATATACCTTGCATAGCTTTATACTGAAGAGGAGCAATGTGTTCAAATCCTGGTGGAGGAACATCCCAATACAATGATGGCTTTCTACGTCTTGATTTAATTTTAGGTGACTTGGATCGACTACGTTTACGTTCATCACGGCTTCTTGAACGATGTCTTCTTCGTTCACGACGGTCTCTATCCCTTGATCGTCGACGTTTGTCACGTCCTCTATCTCCGTCACGATCTATCAAATCAATAATTTAAAAAATGTATAGAAAAAATATTTTTTATAATTAAATAATTAATAAACTATTAAAACCTTTGTCTTCGCCCATAGTAATTTGTATATGTAATCTTGTCTTAACCAAATAAGTTAATGTTAATTATTTTTCATTAAAAGTAATACAAATCCAATAGACTGTATACGCTAAATGTAACTACAGTAATTTACAGAATAATGAAAGGAAAAGATATTAAATCCACTTAAATCTACTGCCTTGTGATTGGTTCTATATAGTTTTTGATAACAAGATTACAGTGCATCATACCATAAGAGCATACCTTAAATCACAACCACATACTAATACATTAGTGAGAATTTATTTTCATAAAAGTTATGTTATATTGTGTACAATTTAACACTTATTGTATAATTAAAGATATATTATGAAAATAAAATAGTAAATAGTTTACAAGGTTAAGGTATAAAAAGATATTAAAGGGATAAGGTATTTCAGGTTATTGAATTTTACTATAGACTTCGTATATCCCATTGATAACTAGATATCATAGAGTCGTGATAACTTAAAACGTGATTGTTATATCACATAAAACATTAATGATACACAACAAAGTCACGTGTGCTTTTAAATGTAAAACAAGCGGGCGACAGGCAATTTACAAGATATTAGTGATCATGACTTCAATTAAATTAAAAGAGATGTGAGTATTTATCAAAAAATTATTAAAAAAATTTTTTGTGTCATATTATAATCTTGTCTAAGTGTAATGTTATTATTGTTTTAGTTTTAAACCAGAGTATGTACAAAAAGAATTTTATACAGGTGGTCATATTGAAGTATGTATAGTGTAATTATATCTAAGTTTATAAATCTAATATGTCATTTTATTATCCTTACCCACTTGCAGTGGACTCCAGATGGAAATTATTTGTTGTGTCAATGTGGGCCAAGGGTTTCCGTACTCGATATGGAGACGACTACCATAGTTGACACTGTACCTAGACGTGTTGATAGGGATAGGACTGGTGATGAAGAAGATGAAGAAGACGAGTCAGCTGATAATGTATTAACATTTATTTTAGATCCTACTTGTAAAATATTAATAACATCACATAAAAGTGGACTACTATGTACTTGGGATTTTGCAGGTAATAATCTTGATATAAGTTTACTTTACCGAGCACCCTTTATTTTAATTAGTTAGTTTTGTAATATAGTTTAAAATGTGTAAAAATGTTTTAACAAAAATAAGATCCGCAACATTAAAATTCTATAACTTTCTAACCACTTGTGTTTCTGCTAAATTTTTAAACACAAAAATGTGTTAAAAACCTCATTTAAAAAAATTAATAAATTAAATGAATTTAGCTATAAAAATACTAATAAAAAATTAATGGTATGTTATTTCTTAGAAAAAAAATTAGTTAAATCATGGCATCATCTACATAAAGGGCCAGTTATGCAAATATCAGTTACTAATGATCAAATGTTAGCCTCTGGGGGAACTGATTCTATAATACGGTTGTGGCAAACAGATAAAGCTCATTGTTTATATGCTTTACATGGATTACAAGGTGTAACAAGCTTATTAAAATTCTATCAAAAGTCTGATATTGAACGCTGGTTATTTGCTGCCGATGATATGTCAGAAATTCATGTATGGAATTGTAATAATGGCAAGCATTTGTTTAAATTACAAGGACATTTTAGCACAATCACAGGTTTAGAATTTTACAATAACCAGTACTTTGTCAGGTAGTTATAGCATAAAAAAAATTTATTAAAGAAAAATTAAATATATGTATATATAAATATTTTTATATTAATTTATATTTTAGTTGTAGTAGAGATAAAGTTATAATTCTTTGGGATATATTGTCCATGAAACAACTAAATACTATAGCTGTTTATGATAGCTTAGAAACAATGGTTGTATTACCAAAATATTTTTACCTGCAAGAAGTTCAATATAAATCATCTGGAATTTGTGTGGCTGCTGGAGGAGAAAATGGTACTAATTTTTTTTTTTTAATTTAATAGAATATTAAAAATATTTTTAAGTCTATGTTGATGAATAATTATTTTTTGGTAGTGGTTTAATAAAAAATGTAAAGTCATAAAGTTATTATATACAGAATAATTTTTTTAATATTAACTACTTGATTCCTCTTAAAATTATAATTATATTAAAAAATTCTTTTTGGTATTTTAGCTTCGATGCAGAGCTGAAAAAGTATTAATTTTACTATGATGCATTTTATTTTTTTTTTTTTTTGTCTGTTACCGCTCAATCTCAGCTCTCACTGGACTGATTTTGATATACTGACAGACACAAAAAAAAAATATAATAATAAACACATCATGATAAAACTAAATCTTCTCATTTATGCATTGTTGATAAAATAAAGAATATAAAAATAATTTAAAATTGTAAAATTGTTTCATTATTAAGGCATAATATAGCCTAATAATCAAGTGATAATTATTTTAATATATTTCATATATATTTATGATAATATACTTTTTTAAATTTTAGGATTTCTTCATATATGGGATGTTGAAAACAATATTTCTATTTTTGAAGAAAAAGACTCTGTTCAAGAATCTAATAATTCTTTAAAATGTATTACAAATTTATTATATGATAAAACTCATTCAATGTTAGCAATATGTTATGCTGATAATACAGTTGTACTGCAAAGCCTTGGATCTATCCAGTCAAAAATAACTGTATGGTGTATGCTCATTATAATAATTATACAGAGTGATTCTTTTAACACTTGATAGCTCTTAAAATAATAATTTTTTTGTTAGTATCACCATTTATTTGTTATAAAATGTTTTTGTATTTTCATCCTTTATGTATTATAGAAGTATCAATATAGTTTTTTTAATCGCATTATACATATTTAACTAGCTCATCAGATAGAAAATTATCTAATTAGGAAAATATCTGATCTATAATAATTTTTTGAACCATTATTTCAGAAGTTTTCAATAAATTAAATATTGACGGAAGTATAGAATGGGTCCTGCTAATTTTATCACTAGACATTTCCCTGCATCACTCCTCCCGCCTTGGTATAAAAATGCTTATGACTTCTGAAATACTAGTCCAAAGTTGTTATCACCCTGTCGTTTTCTTAATTGCATAATTTTATAATTTATAGAACAATTAAATATGTATATTGCCATTTAAAAAAAAATCAAGTTGACGCCCCTATAACATATGGGTGTCAAGTTGGGGAAAATAAGTAGGTAAATAGGTTCAATAAGTAAGGAAATGGGTTTCAGTTGTTCTTATTGTTAGTAACTGACCTGTTTCCTAACTTACTGTACAATCTGTATACAATATTTTATAACAGATAAATTAAGATACATATGTAGCTAACAAAAGCCAAAAAAAAAAAAATTTACAAAAGGAATTATTTTTTAAAGAAAAATTGAGTATCTAGCATTAAAAAAATCACTGTATATACTGTATGTTTAAGTTATCATTGACCACTGAATTTCTTCTAATATACTAATAATTGATTCATTTTTTTATTAGTATTTATTTCTCAAATTTTTTAGGGCTATTTAACTCTTTAAAGGGTACCAACTTTTTAAATTTTTTTTTAATTGTATCATACATATTTAACTAGTTAATTAGTTAATTATTTTTGTATAATAGAAAATGATCCAACTAAGAAAATGACTTAACAAAACCAACTTTTGAAACCGTATTTCGGAAATTATTAACGGTTTTAAATGTAAACTGAAAATGAGATGTGTTTTATGTTATATTATCTTGATGCATCACTCTGCCTCACTATTCCTCCCACTCAGGTGTTAAAATATTCATAACTCCTGAACTACTGGTTGAAAAGTTTTTATTGACTAGTTATTTTTTTAGTTAAATAATTTTCTATTTATTAACTAATTAAATGTGTATATTGCTCAAAAAAAATAAATAAATAAATAAGTTAGTACTTTGGGATGGTTATAAAAAATATTAAAAATAAACACTACTTAAGCAAGCCCAAAAAAGAAATTATCAAAATTATTATTTTAAAAGAAATCAAGTGGTCAATATTAATCAATTACTCTGTATAGTGGTGAACCAGACCTAACTATAAACTCTTATAACTAATGAGATCATTAAAATATTGTTGTATTTTTTTTTTTTTTTTAACAATTTTTGCATTTTTAGACATATTTTACTTATTAATATTATTACATATTATTTATTCTTAATAATAGTAAAATAAAAAAATTGAAGTATGTGTTATAACTATACAGCAGTACGAAATAGGTGTATTTCGCAATAAATATCTATAGTATGTCTTAAATTGACTCATAAAATTTTTTTTTATGAAAAACTAAAAAAAGCTTTAAATTTTTTAATAAATTAAAAATAAAAATAAAATATTTTTTTCATTATTAAAAATAAATAATAAAAAAAGCTTTTAATATACTCATATATGCTTTTATAATATTTTAATGTGAGAATGCAGAAGTTGATAAAAAAAATTATAGTAAAATAATTGGTTCAAATGCACAAGATTTATCAGTTAGATCTGTTCCACTCTGTATATGTATCTATATTACCTATGACATTTTTAATTATTTTTAGTTAATTGGATCTAATGATGAAATACTAGATACAGCTATATTAGGTAATGAAAGTAGCCGTTCTTTGGCTGTTGCTATAAACAGTTCAGATATTTATTTATTTCCCTGGCAAAAAAAAATATTTGAAAGTGAAAATACCGAGTATGATAAAATTGAACTTGGAGTTTGCTGTAAACAACTTAAAGGTCATACTAAGACAGTTTTATGTCTAGCTTCTCATAAAAATATTTTAGTGTCTAGTAGTAAGGTCAGTAAAGCATTCATTGATATTTATTCTTTCTAATGCTCAATTATATTTTTAGGATCATAGTATTAGGGTTTGGTCTTATTGTAATGTCTTAAAAACCGCAAAATGTGTAGCAATAGGATTTCGACACACTGGAGCTGTGAATTCTGTAGCAGTTTCTAAATCTTTGGAATTTATTATCTCAGCCAGTACTGATACAACAATAAAACTTTGGAAGCTCCCAAAAGTTTTTAAAACTGGTATGAATATACTTTTACAATATAAATAATGTTTATTTAAATATTAATTATGTATAAAATTAAAATAGACGGGCATGAAATTTTAAGTGTTAAAATTACTGAGGTTGGCCATGAAAAAGATATTAACAGTATTTGTATTTCACCTAATTATCAGACTATTGCTACTGGATCTCAAGATAAATTAATCAAGGTAAATTTATTAAAATATAAATTAGAAAGTTCATAACTTTTTGTAATGACAATTTTAATAGATTTGGTCTTCGAATAATCTCTCTGTACTTGGGATTTGTCGTGGACATAAACGAAGTGTATGGTGTGTACGTTTTTCACCAATTGATCAAGTATTGTTATCATCCTCAGCAGATACAACAATAAAAATCTGGTCAATTAGTGATTTCTCTTGTCTTAAAGTGCGATTCTAAAGTTAATTTTAAATTAAATTGTAAAAAGAATTTTAATTTGTAGACACTTGAAGGCCACGATTCATCTGTTCTTAAGTGTAATTTCTTTAACCATGGTACTCAATTACTTAGTTGTGGTGGAGACGGGCTTGTAAAAATTTGGTGCCTTAAGTCAAGTGAATGTATTTCTACATTAGATAAACACTCATCTAAAGTATGGGCTATGACAAGTATGTATCATTAATATATATAAAAATAAGTTTAAACTTTAAATTACATTTATTTAAGTGTTGATTATTTTATTTAACTTATTCTTCAATCATACAGCACATAATATACTTGTAAAGATATATATTGAATACATGATAACGAGTTTTTGATAGTCTAATGATATAGTATTGCATTGTGATACCTGCCTTAGGTTTCAGGTTCAAACCCTGCATCATGCTAAATTTTTCACATAATTTCCAGTTAATTACCTTAACTGTCTGACATTTAATAGTAGTTGTGTCTAACTTTGTTGGAGTTATAATATATATTAGTATATAAAGTTTGTCTATTTTTACATATTAGCATATATATATATCCAGAGAGCATTTTTTTTTTAATAATATTGACTAAAGATTAATAAAGTATTTATGACTGTTTTGATGATTAATTAATAACTTTTCAATGTTAAACCTTCAGTTTTAAACAGTGTTATATAGGTAGATGAATTATTTTTCAATTGTTCATTTAACAAACTAGAAACAGAGATAGATGTTTCCATTATAAACTAAAATTTGTATGTAAATTGATTAAAAGTCAATTAATAAACTAAAATCCATAGCAAATGCAATAATTACTAGATATTCTTATTCGAAATTACTTAGAGCAACTTAAAAGTATCCTATAATACTTAATAATTATAAAATTGAAATAAATCAATTTTAATTTTTTATTAATAGCTTATATATTCTAAAAAACGGTAGCACAGTGGGGTCGAGGCACAGTGTAGACAAGGCATAGATATGACAAGTATAGATGATATTTGACAGTGATTAAAGTCACTATCATAAGAAACGCTTCGATACAAATCTGTAGATAGTGTTTCATTTAGAGAAATTGGTGGATTATTCCAAAAGCAATATCAACTCTTATTTCTTTGATTATATCATAATTAGTAGTTCTTTGATTTTAAAATATAATATATGAATAAATACTAATTATAATTATTGAATTTAGTATGAAAATAAAAAAGTAAAAAAAATTTAAAAAGTTTAATTTCTTATGTCTTATGACCTTTATTCTATGTCAATTAAATTATATAATATTCATGAAAGTCAATATATTCTCCTAATAAGATATTTTAAAATAAAATAAAATACAAAACCTAGAATTTTAATAGAAAAATAGCATATTTTTGAATACGGTAGCCATTTGCGCATAGAAGATAGGTCGTCGGGACAAATTTTTTTTTTTCATTTTATAGTACATAAAATAAGCTTTAATTTGATATATGTTTAAAGGACGCAGTATTTCCGGAACATTTTCAAAAATTAAGTTGAAAAAGTTAGTTTTTGTAAAAAAAGTTGCTATTTTAAATCCTCCTTGTGAGCAAAATAAGTGTTAGATTTTCAAAAAAAATGATATCAAACAAAAGGAAATTACCTAAGGTTTCAGTATAAAAAAAAATTATGTTGATTTAATGATTTTTGAGTACAAAAAACATCCTTATAGAAGGTGATTTTTATCGCAAATATTACATTTTTTTTTTAATTTCGACAGCAATTTGCACATAGTAGATAGGTCGTCGGGACAAATTTTTTTTTTTCATTTTGTAGTACATAAAATAAGCTTTAATTTAATATATGTTTAAAGGACGTAGTATTTCCTGAACATTTTCAAAAATTAAGTTGAAAAAGTTAGTTTTTGTAAAAAAGTTGCTATTTTAAATCCCTCCAATGAGCAAGTTAAGTGTTAGATTTTCAAAAAAATGATATCAAATGAAAGGGAAATATCTAAGGTTTTAGTATAAAAAAAGTGAGAAAAATGATAAAATTTACCGATTTAAAAATTTGTAATTTTTTTGGATATTTCCCCCATTTGCGGGGAACGAGGGAATTTTTTTCAATTTTTAAGGGTAATGTCTTCAACTAGATACGATTTGTGATATTTTGACGTATTTTTGAAAGAAATCGGTCCAGTGAGAGCTCAGAAAAAGTGGCAACAGAAAAAAAAAAAAAAAAAAAACACATCATAGTAAAATTAATACCTTCTCAGCTTCGCATCGAAGCTAAAAAATGTTTAATTCAAAAACATTTATTACTTTCAACAGTTTCCAATTTATTATTAAACAAATGTATGAAATAAATAGTTTAATTCAATTATTTCTTATAAATATTAATTTGAAAAGAATATGTTTTACAGTTGTGAATGATGGTTCTGTTGTTATTACGGGTGGTGCTGACTCAAGATTAGTTGTGTGGCATGACCGTACAGAGGAAGTAAAAATAGCTGAGGCTACAGCTCGACAGACAAAAGAAATTCATGACCAAAAACTGCAAAATCTATTACAACATGAACAATTATTACCAGCTCTTAAAGTATCAATTAAATTAGATAGGCCGAATACAGCACTTAAAATAATCCAAAGTATAATGAATTAATAATTAGAAAACTCTCTCGACTTTATATTTTTGTATAATTTCTTAAACATTGTTTTTAAAGTTAAAAACCTTAAGCATGTTTTAAATTTATTTACAGAACTTACTAAACAAGGTCAAGAACAAGATCTTAAAATAGTATCTCAAAATATTGACATCGAACAAAAAGAAAAACTTTTAAATTATGTGTTAGATTGGAACACAAATGGAAAATATTGCCTCGCTGCTCAGGTAAATTACATATTAAATTTTATTAATACAGTGTACAACAAGTAAGAAAATAGGTAAATTGTTTTTAACTATGTAAACAATAAAAACCATTTTACTTACTTTTTTAACCCTTTGTATGTATGATATTTAAATTTAATACATAAATATATTTTTTCCAGCTTGTCCTTAATGTTCTAATGGATGATATAATGACTGGAAAATTAATTTTGAATCAAGAAAAGTTACAGGGATTAATGGCTTATAGTGATCGTCATTTTAAAAGATTGACGACAATGATGACAAACACACAATTTTTAAGATATACTACAAATTGTATGGCTCCTCATTCTTCAGTTTAATTATGATTATTTTTATTATAAATAATAAAATCTTTTAGTTATTTTTTTAACTATGAAAAAAATAGTTATTATGTAATTATAATCTAGTCTATTTATACAAAAAATCATGCCAAAATTGTTTTAGCCAAGTAGTTAATTAATTACTCATAACTTCTATCTACAACTAACTTAATACAATTTTGGTATTCAAACCCATTCTAAAACAAAAGATTGTTGCTTGGTTACCACAAATTTAAAATGTTCAAATTACTGGACTTATGAAACTTAAGCACACATTATTTATATAAAAACATGTAATATTTCATCAACCCTGAATTTTTTTTTTTTTTTAGTTAACTAATTAGAATTTTAGAAATAAGTGGAAGTTGAATGGTAAAATATCTCTTAATCTACCCTTTTCTTAACTCCTCACAACCATAAATAAAGATTTATAGGTGTCTGTATACAATAACCCTTACCCATTATTTTTAATATAATGTAAAAATAATATGTAATGAATACTCCTTAGTCTGAATTTATAATAGATCAAATAAGTTTTCATTTGTGCAGAGAAAGTTTAATAATTTTTATAAGATTGTGATAATTCATATATAAATCAATGCAAAACAAAAAGTTTTTGAAAATAAAATTAACCAATAAAAATTTTTATCAAATATTTCCTTACAATATCAACATAAATTATAATTTATATGAAAAATAAAAATTCTGCATTAAACTTTTAATTTATTCTATTACAATATTTTTTTTTTAATCTACTTTAATGATTAACAACAACAAAATTATGAAAAATTCAAAAAAGAAAAAATATATATATATATTGTTTTTTTTTGTGTAATACACATATTTTATTAATACAATGTTTCATTTAAATTATATAATAGATATATTACAACATATTAATCATGAAATAGTTAAACTATAAACAATTTTATTGATTAAATTGACGTGTAGTTTTATATAATTTTTCAAGTGTAAGAACTCGAAAAATATATCAAAGCAATACTACCTAATACAATTTATTATAGTTAATTAAATTCATATAGTTTTACTAAATAATTTATAAATATAATTTACAGGAACTCATCATTGAAGAAAATAAAAATAGAATTATAATATTAAATATATTTAATTAAAATATATATTAATTATTGCTTTAAAATTGGTAATATAGCAACAATATTTGTAAATACTTGTTGTAAAATAGTTGAGCAATTTTTATCATTATAAGTATTTTTTGTTAATTTCTAAAAATAAATTCGAATTACTATCATCCAATGTATTATTTTTTATGTATGAAAATAAGAAATAGAATGTGTAATAAATGGCACAAACATTAAATTAAATCCAGCTATATAAATACATAAATTACTTGGTATAATACTAACAAATGAACAATAAAATGAATTTATTATTTTTGTTATACTAAATGCTCCTACAATAATTAGGTCAATAAATTTTAATAGTTATAGTTTACTTTTATAAATTACAAGATGTTGTTCGACAATAAAATACTATGCTAAAGGCAAAACAAGATCAACAATCGATGATAAGAAATATACATAAACACATAAAACTTAATGTTAATTAAAATTGCAACATTTAAAACAATTAATAATAAAATGTTTTAATATATATTTAAATAATATTATGTATTATATAATTATAAATAATTTCTATTAATCATAGGTCATTTGTATATTTAAGGCACTTTCTACAAAATCTTAATTATAATAAATACATTTTTTAACATTATTATGTACATACATAGATGTAAGTACTTTTTATATCACAGAATGTGTAAATGAATACAATTTTAATAGTCAATTATAGTTACAATAAATAGTTGAGAAAATTAATTTTCAAAATTTAATTAGGTAATCATTTTATTAAAATAAAAAGTGCTTTAAAATATCTCTCCATAATGTTTGTGTATGTCTACCATAAATAAGTAGTGATTAAACAAGCAAAGGACGGATAAGTTATTTTAGTCAAAATTGATTATTTATAGTTAAATAGAGGAGTTATCAAATAAATACAAATTGTATTATGGTTAACAATTGATACATTGAATACTACCAATATTAAGAACAGCTAAAATATTATATTGTTAATTGTTAATGAACTAATATACTTTGAGTATCAAAAGGAAAGTATAATGAAATATACTAATTAAAAGCAAAAAAATATGTGTTAATTAATACTGTCAAATATTTAAAGATAAAATCAACGATTAGGGGAACTATTTAATTGCAAAAAATTCTAATTTTACTTAAATATTTGGACTTTGAATAATGTGATGATTGTTATCTCTAATATGAACTTGGGTTATATAAGGACCAGAACCATGAGGTGATGATCTCTGATAAATATTATTGTTACCCACATAATTATTGTTGATAGTGGATCTCTGGTGTGATAATGCACCACTGACTGATTGGCTGCTCTGAACATCTGAATTATAATTGTACAGCGGGTAGTTGGATTTGGCTACTGGATAATACCGTGGTGACTGCCGGGAACCTTGGGGTAGGCCACCATTCATTTGGGTCGAGCCTAAACAATTGGTTGGTAGTGTGACCTCTCTTATACATATGTGCGATGATTGGGAGAGGACAACTCACCTTGTCTAACTAGAGAATTTGAATTGTTATCTACAAGTCTTGATGAACCACCAGAGTATGGTAATGATCGCATAACACTTTCATACTCAAAATAGTTAGAACTTGGACGCACAACTGACTCTTTAGGATCACGCCGTTGTGAATGATAATGAAGCTGTCGTCGGCTACAATAAAAATTCAACAAAATGAAAAAAACATATTTAAATATTTATCATGTTTCTAAGGATAACATATGACCTTATAACTCTTTTAACTAATATTTGTAAATTTGTTTTAAAAAAATATTATTGTAACCCATTTATAAGGAAAATATTTTTTTTGATAAATAATTATTTACTAAAAAAAAAACTAAAATGTGTTAATTTATGAATATATATAGCTTACATAGGAGAGTTTAATAGATACATGTATGAAAACAACAATTTAAAAAAGGGATCTAGTTTTGATTATTTTTTTGTTATTTACTATTATTTTTGGTATAGCTTACTAAATCATGACGCCTTTTCTCATTTTTATATTATTCACTCCTCTTTATTAAAGGTTAAGTAATTATTCACATTTACAAAACTAGTAGCATAATTTTAGAACTTACTAGCATTGGCGGACATTTGAAGGGGTTTGGGGACTTAGCCCTCTAGAAATTTTAATAACTCCATAAATTTAAGATTTATTTGTGTTATTATTATGTAAACAGCTCCAAGTAATTTTACTGAACTAGATTATTCTAACCTTCTTTAATATAATATATGTATATTATTATAATAATACATAATATAATATTATACATAATTATGTATTGCAAAAATATAAGATTTTAATTAATGGACTTGGAATATTTTTTATCAGTTTCTTATTACAATATAAGAATTAATATTTTTATGATTTGTTTCATTAATTCTGGATACTTAATGAATAATATTTTTATAATAATATTTCATTTCTCATAAAAATTTAATATTGCATAGTATTTGTTATATACTATATAATAATAGACCCTACTCTAAAAGTGTTAATAGGTCAAAGTTAATGAGATTAAAACATTTTTTTTGGCAACCTACCTTTCATCATCTGTGTCATAATAGCATGACACAGATTTATTTTTTTTTCCATTGTGTCGAAGCTTAACGCCATGTGTTTCATGCATTGCGCTATAATCAAAAGTGCAAAGCATGCATAATGAAAGATAATGAATAGACTATTCACCTAATTTAACATATATAACCCAAAAATAGTAACAGGCGGTTTTGTCAAGCAAGATATGCAATAGCTTTAAAAAAAGTTTATTGTTTCACATAAACATCCCAAAAAAAGCAAAAAATAATATTTTTTATATGAAATTAATAATAAAGAATAAAACGATCTAATAGGAGATGTTACTATAATTTAAGAGGCCCTCTAAAAGTAGTTTGTGACTAAAAACAATTTGTCTTCTCACTTTTATTCCACATAGTCTCAGCAGTTGCCGAACTCACACAATAGTATGTAGTCTAATAGATTTTAATTTTTATTAATGTTTTCAATGTTATCATGTGATATAAAAGATTAGTTTTAAAAAGTAGGGTTCATCAATAATATATTTTTAGATAACTATATTTCACTAAATTTCAGTAATATTATATCGTAATATTGAAAAAAAAATTGTTCCCAATATCGTATAAAAAAATAAAATAATTTTTTTTTTTGGCTCAATAATTTCATTTTATTTTTCAGATTGAGTTACAACCAGTTATTGTTGTATATATTTTAATTCTGAAATTTCTTTTTCTAAATCTCCTCATACAGTACTTTGTTTGTGTTCTATAAAAAATAGGAATAACAATAATATCATAGTGAATAACCTAATCTGAGAATAGAATTTTGTATCAATAAATATCATTTTTTGTCTAATTTCAATTCTACTATTTATATATATTTTAATACAAAATATATTAATAAAATTATCATGATTTTGACATAATATCAAATAATATATATTTTACAACAAAGTGGCCAAATTTCAAACAGTTTTCTCTATTAATAATTTTTTTTTCGATCATTGCGATTTTTCAAAAATAATCCATATTATAAAAAAAATGAAAAAAGTTGGCCATATCGATATTGTTGACGAACCCTATTTAATATTATATTATTAAATAATATTAATTAATATTCAAAATTATTTTATACTAACATATATTTATAAAACAAATTTTAGTACATCAAATAAATGATTCATAAATATAGTACGAATATTGATACAAAAAATCAATAAAAATTACTGCCCAAAAATGAAATTTATCACGATGATGAATAACATTTTTTCATATTCATAATTAACTTTTAATAATTGATAACAATTATTTTGGGGAGTACATTTAATTTAAATAGATAAAACATTATATTTTAGACTATCCAATTAAAGAAAAATAGTTTTTAACTAGACTTCTTTAAAATAAAAATAATTTAGAAATGAAAACATGCAAATAACAATAGTGTAAAAAATGTTTACCTCAAATTTTGTTGTATTTCTTGGAAATTAACATAATGATTAAATCGTGGATCTGTTATACCAACACGACTACCAGGTCGGTTGATAGAGTTTTGACTATTAGTTGAAGACTAAAGAAATTCAAAATTTAAATGTTTAAAAACCACTATAAACACACAATAATTTGATTAATACCTTATGGAAATCAGATTCATAATGATTTTTTTCTCTTTCATCAGGCTTATATTGTCCAGCACGTTCCAAATGCCTTCTTTGATGTTCAGCTCTGAGCTGTTGAATTCGATCAATACGTGACTGTTCAGGATTATTAGGTTTGGCAGAAACAGCAGTAAAGTTATTTGAAACATCATCAATAGCAACTTCACAACGATTCTGTTGTTCCTAAAATATATATATATATATAATTATTATTTACAGAAAATGTTATTTATACTGTATAGGGATACAATTAACTAATCAAACATTTGGTTGATAATCATCAAAAAAATAATTAATAGTAATTTTTAACTTAATAATTTTACATTAAGGTCATATTAGAGTCTTTAGGATATTAGGATTTCATTATAAAATTGATTCATAAAAGAACCAGTTTTTTGAGAAATAATAAAACTTCAAAAATTTATATTTTGTAAAAATAGTAAAAGAACTTTTACAAAACTACTATGTTAAAACCAAGAGAACCAGAGGAAAATTCTAAAAATAATATATTTTTAAGGAATTTATTTAAAAGTTTGAATAAATTACAACAAATTTTCTATGAAAAATATATTACATTAGATAATTTTTTTAAAAATGTTGTGAAGTATATTGCTTCTCAAATCTATAGTTTAACTATCTTATATAATACATCAACATTTATAGGACATTAATGAGAGTAAATATTTCAATGAGAGTACCATAGAATAGTTTTCATTAAATACAGCACAATAAGGTTAAGTATAAAATATAGATATATCTTTACCAGTTCAGCTTGACGCTGCATTAGTCTTTGATATTGTTCTTGAATTCTTAATTGTTCATCACGAGCATTTTGACGAGCGACTTCACGTTCACGATCTATTGTGTTATCATCCTCAGAACTTAATGTACCATTTAGATCAGTTGTTCTCCTATTTTTACCAAACCTTTCCATACAAATAGAAATATATTAAAATTGTACATAATAAATAAAAAAAATATAATTATAAATAAAATTGCTGAATTACTTAAACATTGAACCAATTCCTTTGAGTAATCCTTGTTTCTTTTTATTAGAAGCAAGTGTTGGCCCTTTAGGTAATTTATAATTATTTTGTGAATGTAGTGAAGATTGCCTCCGACCAATTTGAGGATAAATTCCTTCTTCACCATCTATTCAAAATTAATTTAATTGAATTAGATCAATACATTTAGTATTTAATATATATATATATATATATATACATGTATCAAGGCGAAGCTCACGTAATGACAGTGGTCCATCTTTGTCAACAGCAGCCCTAAAACTCTCATCGCAACCTCTTCCTCGAACTACTCGAGCATTAACTTTTTTACCCTCTTCTGACATTTGTACTTCTTGAACCATAGTCTGAAGGGATTCCAAACTTGATGATTTTTTCAATCCTAATGATGGACCTAATTGCTGTTTTGGTGAGGAACTTTTACCTATATAGAATCTTATGTTAAGTCCAATATAATACAAAATAAATGTATAGTACTAACGATTGCTACTTTCATCTCCACCTCGTTCTTCACGCAGTTTTTTATTTCTCTGATATGTATCTGTATTTTTAGCATCCAATGTTGCATGACGTTTTTCTGACATACTTTGTCGTCCAAATGCATCTCTTGAAAATCCAGAATTGGTATTGTCTAATGATAATCTAAAGTTCATTAATATATATTTAAATTTTACTTAATAAATTTAAGTCAATATATATTAGTTTATATTTACTGGCTTGCATAAGTGACATCTGTACTTGTTGATCCTGTTCTAGCTTGTGGAGGAGAAGCAATTATATTTGGCTTTTCTTCTTCTATTTTTTTCCTGCTGCAATTTATTTATACATTATAATAAAATAATATAATCTTATAATAATAATATAAGATTTCTTACTTAATAGTGTTATATATAGGTGGGTCTTCCTCAATAATTAACATCTCTCCAGATATTTGGTTAACTGTAGGACTCTTCAGTTTCTCTTCTTCTTTTATCATTATGGTGGTTTGATGGGTTGCCTTAACATATATATTTTTATTTTTATTTAAATGTTTATAATTTATATACAACAGAGGTACACTATAACAAATCTACTTTTTTTAAACGAGGTAAAACCTTTCTTTAAATGTTTATTTTATGAACATTTTAAAAATAGTTTTACCTTATGTAAAGAAAAGTAGACTTGTGATAACTTATCTCTATGATACAGAATTATCCTACAAAAATTACCTTATAATAACTTTCATTACGTAAGCCATTAAAACGATTGGTTTGACCAGTTAACCTCTCCAACACAGGATTACGAATAGCAATACCATCTAAATTTTTTAAATGTTGCCAAATAAAGTAAAAATCATTTTTTTCTAACAAAACAAAATAAAATTTACTATACCCGGAGAATTAGTTGGAATTGATTTTCTTGTAGAGCTTTCAGAACCTTGTTTTTGGTGCATAAATATTACAGTGTTGTCAGAATTATCACTAGTACCAGAGTTATCTGTCATATTTTGAGTACTATCGCTGCTATCAGGCCTTCCAAATGTTTCTGTATTAGCTATAAGAAAATAAAAGATAAAAAAAAAATATTAAATAACACTAAATTAATGCATACTAGAAGAATCAGTAAGTAGACTTGAAGATGAATCACGGCTACGTCTTCTGTGTAATATTGGAGAACTATTTTTTCGGCGAGCAACTGTCAATGATATTGCCCCAGGCACAGGACCTGGGTCTACAATTATCATAGTTCTTCTTAATGTTTCCATAGCAGCAGCGTTTGTTTGACCAATCAATGAAATACCATTGATATACAAAAGCTGATCATTGGTGCGTAATCTTCCATCCCTTAAGTAATAATTATAAAATAATAATCAAGTAAAATTTCAAAGTTGAAAATAAATTTTAAATACCTTGATGCAGCTCCACCATGTAAAACATTTTTTATAAAAATTCCTAAATCTTGTGGAGTACTTTTTTCATTGGAATTATTATGTGATGAAGTTTTTCCTTTCACACTAATACCTAACCCAGCCTTTTCTGAATCATGAACAGGAATGTCAAATGTAAGAATTTCTTTATTCCTCCAAGGAAATGTTTGATTTTCTTCTAAACTCTTAACATATTCCTGAAATGCCCAAAAATTTAAATATTTTTAGCTAAAGGCTGATAAATATTATTTATACCTGAACAGTACTGTTGTTAAGTATATTAGTTCCTAAAGTGTTGCCACTCACTTCCCTTTCAAAACTTTCTTCACTATCCTGGATAACATAAAATTAGTAAATAAATCATATATATATATATATATACATTTGCTGAAAAAAAAATTAAACCTACTTTTACTCCAGTATAATTGGTAACATCTTCTTGTCTAGACACAATTATTTTTACTTTTGCACCCGATGGAACTTTTCGTAATATGGCAACTGCTTCACCTTGTGTTTTTCCAGTTAATTCTGTACCATTTACAGCTAAAAGACGGTCTCCAGGCCTTAATCTACCATCTTCAACAGCAGCTCCCTAAAAAAATCCATACCATTTTCATTTGATACTAATACTTTTCATAAAAATATTAATAGGACACAAATATATCTTACTTTAGGTAAAACATTTTTTATGTAAATAGGGCAATTACCACCAGCTGGATTATCTCTTGTTGTAATACTAAAACCAAGCCCATGAGATCCTTTAGTAAGTTCCAACTCCATTTTTTTACCAATTTTTCTAGTATTAGCAACCATTAAAATATTGGATGCTATAGGAGTCACACCAATTGTTTTTTTAGTCGGTGAAATTGTAGCAACTTTTGTATTTACATTTATTACTGAAACATAATTTTATTTTATTAATAAATAACTATTAAGCTTACTATTTTTATGAAGCAAAATTATATGCAAGTCAGTTATAAGACAGATTAGGTAAATTAAGGCTAATTGAAATAATAATGAACAAGTATAAAATAAAAAATGTTTTTTTTATTTTGAACAGAACTCAGAATATTACTCATAGAAAAATAATATTCAGAATGTTTTTCTTTTTTTAATTTTATAGTACATTAAACAAGCTTTCATTTGATTTTTTTTTTATTTACTATGCAAAACACTTTAAAATCGGTGATTTTTATTGAAAATTATGATTTCTTGACTAATTAGCTGATAACTGATAAAAATTAAGTGTTTAGATGGATTTTCATTTTATAATCTCAAAGTAAATTGTTAGCACTAATTTAGTATAAGTTTAAAGAACTTAGATTTTTTGGATTATTAAAAATTAGACACAAAAAAATCTCGACATTATGTTTAAACTCTCCCAATATGTTGATTTATGTTTGGATTTCCTATCAAAGTATGTTATCAGAGCATCGCAATTATCTAAAATATATTTAAATATAGTATTTAACTTGTATTTTGACGTAACAAAAACTTTTTTAAGATTTGGTACTAGTATGATACTATATATTTACTTTTATTATCTTTATTAGATAATCCAATTGTGAAATTTTCTTTGTTGTTGTTCAAAGCTCCAATATTATTTGTAGATGGTTTTGGAAATATAGGTGGAGGTGGCTGTTTTTTATTACCAGTAACAGTGACTTGACTAGTTTGATTATCTTGATTGTTTTTGTGTTTCACCACTCTTAATCTAAGTTCTGAAGAATGTAACGAGTCTCGGAATATTTCTTGAATTCTAAAAGAAATCAATACTTTGTTGTTAGAGATTGAACACCATTTTTGTAAGTTACTTACGCATTAAATGGTTGATCTAGTAATGAGCGGCCATTTATTTCAACAATTCGATCATAAATTTTTAAACGACCATCACAATGAACTCGACCACCAGGTTCAATGCCTTGAACTAAAAGTCCACGCTCTTTACCAAGGGAATTGTAATCCGGAACTACATGAATTCCTAATGAGCCACCATTAGTACTAAGTACTATATATTCAGTTCTATAAAATTAATATCAAAATTTAGTCCTAATCATATTTACACTATTAGTAAAAAGGTAATAAATACTGTAAGTCCGATGATCGGGTAGGAGGATTAGTAGTTGCTTGACCAAGTGGTTCTTTCCTGCGATGATCTCTAGGTAGTGATAATGATAAAACTTTATTATTTGCTAAATCAGCAGCATCAGCCCAACGAAATCCTCTATAATATATATATTTAACATATTAAAAATATTTCTTTAAAGTGAAATTAATTATAAAATTATAACAAACCCAGGTGAATCCCCTAAAAATTGCATGGACAGTCTATTAGTTGAATCACGATGAAATGAAGGAACTTGAAAATGATTAGTAACAGAAGGTTTATCTTCATTTTCTATTTCTAACTCGCTTTCTTCTTCTTCTTCAGAACACCGCCAATTATCATTTCCCCCAAAACCATTTTGTTTAAAATACTCATCCTGTATTTATTAAGCAGTTTAAAATTAAAAAAATATATATATATAGTTTTTCTTTAGAATTTTTAAAATTTGTAGAAAACTAAATTGATTTTGTTTCATGTCAGAAATGCCTTATTATAATAAATGTGTCATTATCTAAATAATTTGAAATCTTAGTATTATTCCTAAATAACACATTGATTTGATATGTATAGCTTGTTAATATAAATAAACTTAAAGTAACAAACACCAAAGAATACCTTCAGAAGTTTATCTTTAGGATCATGAATCATTGGGGCTGCTGACCATCGTTTAGATTGTCCTGATACTGCTGGCCTCGTATTACTAGTTCTTTTACCCAAATTATTAGCTAAAAAAATCCAGTTATTTAAAACTCTAAATTTAATAGTAAAAGGAATACTAACCAGACTCGAGTGGTAACTGATTAAGAGCTGGTTCACTACCACGTCTTACATGAAGGGCTGGAAATCCAGAAGCAATTTGCTCAGTAGTAACTTCAATATCAGTTTGTGGTCCATCTCGACTCTATATATAAGAAACAATGATTTAATAATTGAATAACATACAAAAATATTTTATAATATTCATTTTTATTATCAAAAAATGTTTTTCAAGTATTTATGTATTGATTACCAATCTGTTTTTTTATGATTTATTATTAAGTTATAATTCGTATAAAAAAAACTTGTAAGTAAGAGTGCTGTAACCTGAAAAACATTTCATAGAGCATATAACGGAGATTATAACTAAAATTAAAAATTCAGAAATGTTAAAAATAAAATTTACATATTTAACTAATTCATATAATAGAAAATGATCCAACTAAGAAAATGACTTAACAAAAGTAATTTTTGAAACCGTATTTCGGAAATGATTAACGGTTTTAAATGTAAACTGAAAATGAGATGTGTTTTATGTTATATTATCTTGATGCATCACTCTGCCTCACTATTCCTCCCACTCAGGTGTTAAAATATTCATAACTCCTGAACTACTGGTTGAAAAGTTTTTATTGACTAGTTATTTTTTTAGTTAAATAATTTTCTATTTATTAACTAATTAAATGTGTATATTGCTCAAAAAAAAAAAAATAATAAGTTAGTACCATTATCCCAATGGTTTACCATTACTATTACTATTAAATAAAGTAATAGTAAAGTATGTGTTATAACTATACATCAGTACGAAATAGGTGTATTTCGCAATAAATATCTATAGTATGTCTTAAATTGACTCATAAAATTTTTTTTTATGAAAAACTAAAAAAAAGCTTTTTAAATACTCATATATGCTTTTATAATATTTTAATGTGAGAATGCAGAAGTTGATAAAAAAAATTATAGTAAAATAATAATTGGTTCAAATACACAAGATTTATCAGTTAGATCTGTTCCACTCTGTATATGATAAATATAGTCAAAGATAAATCAATCACTTTACTATATATGTAAATCTTAAAATATTATAACATTGTATTTAGAAAATTGGAAAATTATAACGTCATAAATGGCCTTAAAATAGTTAGCAATATTTACGTTAATTGTTTGCGTTTTAAAAAAATTTTTATACTATTGGTCCATTTAATTAGGTGTTAGATATTCTATCTTAATTATTCAATTGTTGCAAATAAATTATACATTCTAACCATAAACCATGTCAGATGTGCATTTTTTATCTTTAAAAATAAATTTCTATGCGTAACAAAAATGTGTAAAACAATACATAATAATCGTGTAGTATATATATTTGATTATTGTACAATAAAAACTAAGTCAGTACATAATGTCGCCATTATGACCAGATAAATAAAACACGTTTAATATATACAAGCACTTGAGTAAATAAATTATATACATGCAAAGTAATTCTAGTACAATAAGTTACTATGATTATATATTTAACTAATAACTTTGATTATTAAAAAAGCTAATTTAATTTTTTAATTAATTTCGACAGTAAAATTTAGTAGAAATAACACTTTTTAAAAATATCTTAAGAAATTAAAAAATACATAGAATATAAAATGAACTTCAATTAAATTGAAAAGTGCTATTGGAAAACTAAATAATTAATCATTATTGAAAATAAATGACTAATTTTTTAATATCAGTAACGTTGAATTGTTATTTTAATTTAATGTATTCCAATGAAAATAACTTGAGAGGTCACCAGCTAAAACAATAACTATGTGAAATAAAAAATTAAAAGCGACCAACTACATTGGTAGTTTATTAATTCAATAATTTAAATTATCTATGTAATAGTATATATTTTAAAAATATTAAAAAAAATAGCTGAGAAGAGTACAGAGATTGTAAACGAATAAATCGCCGTCAATATGTTAAACTAAACATGAAAAAACATTGTAATGTTACCGACAAGGATAACTTTTGATAAATAAATTGAAAAAAATTGTTTAACATTATATGTTTTTTCGTAATTAACATGCATTAATGTAATATTAAGCATAATTATTATTTCATAAACCGTTTAGACTTACATGGAACATATCCGGACTGGAAGTAGCACTGGCACCGTCTCCGCCGCCATGATGATGTGGACTATGATTATCGCCGTCATCGTAGAGAGCAATGATTTGTTCTCTATCGTCAGCTACGTCTTGCAGACGATCATCGGGGTCCAAAATACCTCCATCACTCTGTGATTGTAAGCTGTGCACAGTCACCCATGAATTTGAGCTCTGAAAAAAATAACTTTATAATGTGAAAACTATACAAAAAGTAAAATATGAAGTTTAATCATTTGACGACATGAATATAAAATACATCAGAAAAATTTATTATCATTTTTACATAATTTTTTTTATAATTTTATCTACATTAGTGGCAAGCGGCCCAACCAGAAAATAATTTCGAGAGAGATTACCTGTTTTTTTGGTTAACAAATATTTTTTTCTGAATCGCTATTTAAAAAAACTTGAATGAGTGAAAAAAGGTCAACAGAACTAACACTTCAAATATCACAAATCATTTCAGGGGAAGGATAGAGTCCACAATCTCAATACCCTGGTGGCACCACTGTTGGTGACTATACTACTGATTTCCGAAACAAGTAGTGATTTATTAGTAATGAAGTTTTAGTTAATTGTTTTCTACATTAAGGATGTCCCGAAGGGTTGCGGGATCTTCTAAATTTATTAATACATAATAAAGTCTGTAGCTTTTAAAAATGAAAAATACTACTCTTCAGGTACTAAAAATTTATCTACAGTTGTTTAATTTGTTTGAATTTATCTCATGTAGGTCCATAAATATTTTACTAACTACAGGAGTATGGAAGAGGATCGGAGTGTCCAAGTCAGTAACACGGCAGTGCTTGACGCGCACTATTCTCATTCGAAAACGGGCGGCTTTATTTGCCGAGCTAGAGATTAGTTCGGCAATTGGAATCGCCATCGCTCTCTACAGTGACGGACTAACCATCTATCTCGCAGTAACAATGGTTAAGAAAACCTCCCCTTTAAGAGAGGTTTCTATGGGCCTTTAGACCTGGAAAAGCAATAATAAAAAAAAAAATGGATTATGGAAGTTTTGACTACAAGGTCGAATTACTGAAAAAAATGTTGTTCGCTTAAGTAATTACTCTTTTGTTTTTGCAGGCAACTCTGTTCAAATAACAAGTAATTAATAAAAACGGTTACGCAAAGTCCTATTTTTAAACTCACTGACACTTTTTAATCGAACACTAATTTTTATAAGACACATTTGCGCAATAATAATAGTTCATATAGAACAACGATAAAATGCAAAATTTGATCAGTATAAACGTCATGTCGCAATCGTTCAAGAAATAGCACTATTTTACAAGACTCTGTTAAAAATCTATAATACATTTTTAAAACCTTCATAACAATTTTTGAAATTTAAGTAAAAAAATTATGTTGTATTGTTTTTAAATATTATGTACACTAATCAAAGTTTGTGTTTAATTAACGAATTAACAGCACATTTTATAATTACCTATTTAGCGTTTTTATGCAATAGACGATAGTGAAGTAAACGATTTATACGAGTTAATTTCAAGGACTCTATTCTTACAGCGTTTAAATAGTCAAACACTATAAAGTTATTACACACGTCTTATAGTTATAATAAATATTTAATTGTTATAAAATATCAACCAATGCATACAATCACAAACAAATACAAAATTGTTTTATTAAAACAAAATTCAACAAATAACATATAAAATTACACCAAGGTAAGAATCATCGGTGATAAATTATAAAAAAATTATCTATTTTCATTTGAAAAGATCATTTATTACAGGGAGTGTTTAAAAATACAAATAATTTTCAATTTGTAGATTTGAATAAAAATATTTCTCGCGTGACCGCTTACAATGTCAATCTGAATATATATATATATAGTAAAGCTCTCATATTATACAGGTCATAGATACAGATGTAAGTAAAATATATATTTTTCATAAAAAACATGAAAAGTATTCGGTAAGAGTTAAAAAAAAATTTATTAGCATAACAATGAGTTAATAGTATTATAATAATTTGTTATAGCAAAATGTAAATGTATATGTACAATAAACACCTATAGATTAACACCAGATCTAGATGAAATTTTACAATAAAAAAATATGTTATCCGTTAGCAAAACAAATGACGTCTGAAAATATACAGAAATTTTCGGTACGGGCGATAATAGTATTAGGATGACTTAAACTTCTATCTCATCTAGGAAAATATAAAATTAACAAATAAAAATGACTTCAAACTTATAATTTCTCAATTTGCAGCGAAAACTATCTTAAAAAGAAGTGTATATAACAAAGGAATTAAGATGTAAGAATACACAAGCATTTAACTTGTGTAAAACATCAAGCAACGACTTACTTAAAATAAATTTTATACTTAAATAATCACGATGTATGTTCATAATAATATTTACATTCATACTTTTTCAAAAAGTACTTTTGTTGAATCTTAGGGATTGTATTTGAAATTATGAGAAAGAAGAAACTATTACTTTACGACCGACATACATCGTAGTAAAATCTTAAGCCATTCTCTTTTCAGCCACTCAACATTAGCCATAACTTTCATTATTTTCATTTCCCTATTATTTAAAGTAATTTTCATTAATAAGAGAAGATAAATAAATGTTTTATTTAAAAAAGCCATGTACAATAATTATTTAAAAAAAAAATATTGTTTAATTACAAATAAATTACTTTAAACTGACCAAAATTGATTTTTTAATTAAATAATCTTTCATAACTTAATTAATTATTCAATTATCCCTGAAATCATACATTATTTATTCTAATCAAACAACAATTAAACTTTTTATACACATATTTTAGTATAATAACCGCTGTTTTACTTTAAAACGCTGATAAAGGTTAGCGCTCTTAATTTTTATTGTTAACACGATATAAAAGTATAATAATAGCTCAATATTCTTTCATAGAAACGAATAATTTTTAGATTTCCGGTTCTCACGCAGGGGCTATAATAATAAAATCCAATTTCTCTATTTTTGCACTTCATAATTTAACGATGTAACATGATAACATACATGAATATATATAATTAGACAGTTCACTTTAAAGAAGAGGCAACAAGCTAACTAGCACTTCATACAAAATATAATTATACAATAAAGAAAAATATACCATAATTCAAACATGATAATCAATAAGTATTCATTTAAAATATTGCAAAGATGTATTAAAAAATACACTTAGCAATAGGACAAAACAGCATAAATATATCAGAAGAAGAATACCTATTCTGAGACTCAGTATACACAACATAACAAGTATAAGCAAATTTTGAAAACATTAAAATAACTTAAATTTAATAACATAACTTAGATATTACAATAGAACCTTATATAAACTTATAAAATTTATATATAAATTATTAAAGTTATATATAACTTATAAACTTATTAAAATTTGTGTCCTCATAAAATTAAAATTACAAAATCAACTTCCCACTACCTTACTGGTTGGAGATAGATTATTGAGTTGTTGTATCCTCTGGACTTCATATGTTTTCTTGCGGCCAAATACTTGTGCAATTTTACCGATGACCGTCGCACCCCGCTTACCACAATTGCAGCTATTGTGAGACGAAGAGCTGCAGCTTTCCAACATGACTAGAGGGTATTGACATTTTTTTAGAGGCTTAACGTTGTACTCAAAGAGCCCAACCCAGCGACAGTAGACAGATAATTACTGTCATATGTTACGCTACGTTTTAAAACAGGATAGAAGTGCACAGTGCACAACATTTAAGCAATTTATTCTGTTATTGATAATCGAAAACGTTAACACGTTTAAAACAGTAATTTTATCTAAATATGTCGAAAATGTACAAATTCGAATATGTAAGTGACAGATGAAAACAAGCTGAGCTCGTAGTCGAAATGATTTTGCACAAACCGTTTCGGAAAAGTGAACTAATGATGACGAGCTCTAATAATCTGCACTACACTCTTCACCTTTTACTTAAACAGAAAAATTATAGATTACTCTTTTTGATCTGCATCATTATTATTTTTAGAATTATTTATGGGCGTTTAAATTTTATTTTAAGTTATTCTTCATATAAAATATACTTTTAGGAAAGTTAATAAGAAATGTGTTTTAACATTGTTTCTTTTATATAAATAAGAAATATTTCGATTTATATGAACGTTAATGAGATTTTTTTTTTAATGTTTGATTGACAAGTGTCAACTAGTTATATGCAAATAATTATACGTTTGTCGTTTGGAGTTAAGTAGTTTTAAATGAATAATAAATGGGTATTTAGCACAAAATACATTTCTTTAGAATTGAACTGATATCGTCGAATTTTTATTGAAATAAACTTTGTGCCTTACCATTTTTAACAAAAAAAAAAAATAACAGTATTAATTATAGAATATTTTTTGATAAATTTGGTACTAAAATTCAAAGCAATATCACATAACCAAGTATAACATATTCCGTATCACTATGATCACGAATCTCACGATGAGAGTATTATTGAGCTTATGTGTTATATAATTAACCAGAACAAATATTACATATAAATACTTCAGTATGGTGAGAACAGGGTACATTATATTATAATAATGAAAAAAGTCAATTTAATAATAAAATTATTTTAATAATACATATTCATTAAATGAAAAAATAGAGAGAAATGAAGATCTGCGTCGACTATTTTTTAAATTACATGTAGATTGAGTGTATGGTTAGAAGCACTGACGCGCGACGGTATTTCATACTGAAAAGAGTTTGTCAATACTTGTACTACGATTAAATATTGTGTTTTTTGTTGCAACTAGTTGTTAATCGATGTGCCCAACTACTCCATGATGTAAATGTGCTATTGTCACGTTCCAGTTAAAGAAATAACGATCGTTGATTAAATACAAAACAGAAGCCACAGTTGAAATAGAAAATTTAACCGACATATTATGATTCTGTTTTCACTGATTTTGTAATATTATCTTCTGGCATTTAATTTAAATTTTAATCGAAAAATAATAAGTTTCACGGTGATAGAAGTCTTAAAAAAATTATTGCCATGAGTTTCGATGTAATTGATATTACTTTAAAAGTAAACACAATGTGAGCATGCATTTGTTCATCAAAGAGCTTAGAACATTAAAGAAAGATAGTTTGACATAGATTGTAAAACTATTTATTTTTTACTTCTATAGTAAGTAACCTTAGAGAGAAAATTTAAATTTATTATAAAGTTTGTATATTTAAAAAAAAAATAAATGAAACAATTCAATGGTTATTAAATTTTTGAATAGCTGTACACGTCGTAACAAGTTCAGTTAACTAATAAAATGATGCTAATATGTACTAATTTCGAAGTCTAACATAAAATAAGCTAAACAAATTATTCTATATTGAAATAAAGTTATGGTAAAAAAAATTATACTAATGAATTAAAAGATTTTTTTATGTCAACAACCAAAATATATAACTAAAACGCTTAAATACAAATGAACTAGCTTTTAATTTTTCAAATTAATGATACATCTTTTCTAATAAGTAAATTATTATAATTGCAATTAAAAAAAAATGTAGTACAACCAAAATTACTGGTAGATATCTATAGATTTAACGTGCAATCAGAAAGTGTCTACGAAATTAATTACATTGGAGAATAGAACATGAATAAAACAATGACGGATAAAAAAGAATTCCAGAAATAATAATGAGATTTTCTCATGAATATTATAATTGAGGAGAAGATTCAAAACGAAAACTAAGAAAGAGTAAAATAATAAATGTCAATTATGAAAAAGAAAAAATTTGTATAGATAATTATTTCTAATAACATAGATAAACAAAAATATGTTTTTATTAAATAAATTGATATGAATATTTAAGAAATTAATGAAGATTTAATAGCATACAACATTAATGCATACCAATGACTTGGTATCATTTAATTGAAAAATCTATTTAAAATTAATATTATAATTTAAAAGAAAACGCCAATATAATAATTAAAACGGGTTTGCATTATTATTTTTTAATTGTGATAATTCAACCTAGTTTTGTTTTAATTATATTCATTTGTTATTATTATAGTACATACATCGTACCGTAGTCTGTTTTTTTATTTTCAATTTCGGAGCTCCATTGTTTTTAGATTATACTAATATCTTCCAACAACAAGTTTAACTATTAAACAATAGTAAGCTATGTGAGGTAATAGTGTTTCTTTAATAATGCTGTCGAGTAACAGCAAATTCCCGTATACTATAGTTCACACATACAAGATAAACATTTCGATGATGTTATACCATACATTTATATATAAGATCTACTTTTTGATATTTGTTCTGAGATACTTCAAATATATCCACATTAAGTAACTTGGAATAAAAAAAACTTCAAATTTATTTTATCATTAATGATATATTTAATTCAAGTCGTTAGTGGAAAATCTAATCTACCAATAACAATCGAACTGTCAGGAAACACGACAGAACATTTTCTTAGCAATAACTTTTGAATTATCGACATTAGGATGTACTAACAATGACATATATTAATTAGATTATACATTTTAAGTAAACGTTACAATAAAGAAGACATGTGTTATTATTTATCATAAGATTAAACTGTAAGATAAATGACAAGATCGACTCTAGCTAAGAGAAAACTATCTAATACATCCAAAATAAACTAACATAATTCAGAAGAATCAATTGGCACATGTAAAAAATTATTATGATTATTACAAAATCAGTTCAATTCTAAGAGACGAATTCAGTAATACAAATAAATCTTTAGTTAGTTTTAACTGAAATTAAATCTGTTAAAAATAATTACTAAATCTGAATCGTATTTATATTATACACAACACTAATAAAAGAATTCAAAACAACCCAAAGTATGAAGAAAAACAAGCATGATAATATAGTTAATTATTGAAATGAAAATTAAAATAAATTAAATGTAAATACATTACAATTTCATTATTCCTTTTATAAAAACAATTTTTTTTTTATATAAAAAATGCGCACACGATAAAACGGTACGATAAACCTAACACACGTCGACAACGTAGACCGCACTAGACAACACTAAATGCGAATGGCATCACACAAGTAAATGGTATTAGGTTGAATATACAACGCGCGTACAGTTATTCAAGGTATTACATGTATTTACTTTAGGGTCATCGAGCAAAAACGGTTTTAGGACGATCTGATATATTAATTTACATTTTTTACATACCTAATAAGTAAAAAAATATGTATAGTGCTCATATGTATTCATAAAAAAATGTATCATACGTACCAGCCAATATTTTTCTCATACTTCATTAAAACTAAACATTTTTTAAATATGTACTGGTGTGAACCGTTTAATATGATATACTTTCATATGACTTTTTAATTGAAGAATTTACAATAGGTATGTTATTTTGTCCACTTATTTTAATTTATTCTGGTCGCTATTCAAAAGTGAATAAAATAGGCAAAATTAACAAAATTTAGAAAATTGTAGTGAACGAAAAAGACATAATTGAAGGCAGAAAATAAAAATAAATTAACCATTAAAACGTTAAACTTAGGTAAAAATTATTACTAATAAAGATTATAATAAAATCAATTAAGTTTCAAAATCGCCAGTTTGTTTTATTATTATTATTATTTTTTTATTAAATTATGATTTTGTCCAGGGAATATTTTATTTAAATTATACATATATATTTTTAGACAATTTCTGAATTAAGTTTTGATTAAAAATGTTAACTTTTGTTTTATGTGAGTGTTTTGTAATATTAATCTAATCTCTCTCTATAAATTTTTATTTAAATAAGATTTTCTATTTCTAATCATTATCAACTCCTGATCACCTAATGTAAAAGAATCACTTAATGAATTACCAAGAATTTAGTGGAGTTGAGGTGGTGGTAGGATTTTATACCTCAAGTAACTTTTCTTCATTTGCACAACACTTATAATTATCTTACAAGAACAAAAAAATGATTAAATTAGTACAATAACAAAATTTTTGATGTTTAAATTTCTAGTTAAAAGAATTAACTTTTGGAGATATAAACTGGCAAACTACATATTGTGAGTTTCGTAAATTTGTGACTACTTTATTTAAGCGATTTTTAAAAGATCCTATTTTTGAACTATGAAGTAAAAAAAAAATTGAACTCAAAACTATCATAACAATTTTAAAATAATAAGCATACAGAAATGTTAATAACAAATATTTATTTTAAACTAAATACCATAATTTTCAAGAAAGATTATTATATCAATGAAGAAAATAATACTGAATTACTAGTACAATTATTTAAATTACGTCGCAGCCAATAGTTAACTCATAATATCCTTATCGGTTACTATTTAAGTCCAAACAACAAACATACCATAAAAATTAGTTTCAAAAAAATATTGATCTTTTACTATTAAATTCACAGTGAAGGTTACTAGTAAAACAAATATAATTACTTAAAAGTGATTAGCTAGCATGCAGTTTCATTGAATGTCTAGAGTAATATAAACAATTGTTCATTATTTATACAAAAAATAAATCCTAATATGATATTAAAACTTTTGAACAAGTAAAAGTATAATTTTAGATATACTAAATTGACAACTATACAAAGTGATTAATTTATCATTAACCACTTAAATAAATTTTGTTATTTTTTCTTTTAGTTCAATATTTCTCTTAAATTTTCAATCATAAAATTTCTTATATGCCCTAATAATTTATAAGGGTGTCAATCTTAATTTCTCAAATGGTAACACCCCAAAATTAACTAGCTTATTTAATAGATAATGATGTAATTAAGAAAATCACTGATCGATAACAAACTTTTCGACCAGTGTTTTGTAAGTTATTAACAATAAAGTACTGACTGGGGGTAAAGAGTGGGTACTGCTATTTTGATAACTTAACATTTCCCGGTCGTACTCTTTCTCTTGCTTATATATAAATATGTCAAATTCTATTAAATAAGTTGGTTATTTAGAGGTGTTGCCATTTGAGAAATAAAAGTTGACACCCTTATAAAGTATTAGGACATATAAAAAACTATTAATACTATTTTTATTTTTCGATTAATTAAGTGGCTCATAATAAGTGAATCAACCTGTATGTAGTTCACAAATAATAACCTATACAACAAAATTATAATCATGATTCGAAGAACAATTTTTATTTAAAATACAAGTGGAACTAGATATAACTAGCATTTCTAATCATTTTTATATACAATTATCAATTTTTCTTTATTTTAATCAATTTTTATAGACTTGAACTGAAATATAAACTTATTATTATTTTTTGTAAAGCACAAACATTTTTTAATAATTTTTATTAAATTTTTTTTTTTTTTTTTGATATTTCAAGATGGTCATTTAAAGAAAAAATTTGAAACCATAAACTCTTATTTTAATTTAGCCGTTAAATTACTATAACTATTTAAAGTTGGTTAAAATTTGAATATTTTTTATATTTTTATGTAATAACAGGGGCGATCTATATTATGCAAAATGTATTTTATTATATAAATAAAATAGTTTTTTTTTTTTGATAATTAACAACATAATTTGAAAATAATAAATATTGTTGTGAAGTGTGATGCTTCATCCAAGTATTGGATTAAAAAGAATCATCTTTTTACTTTTATGTATTTGAAGTATTTAATTAGATTATAAAACAAAAATGAAAAATGTTGTATTAAATTTTAATTAGTAAAATTTACTTGAATTTTACTAAAATCAACGGATTTTTATTCTGATCTTATAAAAAAGTTTATAAATTAGAATAATAAATACTAAGTAAAAAAAAAAAGAAGTATAAAAGTAGTCAAAACGATAAAAAAACGCCCAAATCATTGAATTAGGTTTTACAATAAACACTTGAGTTTTATACATTGTGTTGCCTATTCATTTAAATCAAGGAACTTAAAAATGTATACACCTACTTCACATTTACGATTAATACTCTCAGTAACAGACTTATTAAGACTAAATGGTAAAATGAGATTAATTTCAACATAGATATGCAGCTGTGTTTAAAAATAAGTACGATATTTAATTCAAAATTTTTTTATTAAATTATCTGTATATGTACTAAGTAGCTTTATTAAATTTTACAATCATAAACCGTATTACTAATTCATCCAGATAAAATCATTTCTTTATATCATTGTGATAATTTTTCTGAAAATTTAACCAGTTAAAAATAAATTGCTTTTATCAGAAGATGACGTGAACAATTACGGTTTATTGAATCAATGCTGATATTACGTAATACTAATTCGATATAACGATGAATGAACTAAGCACAAGTTTGTTTGAGGTACTGAAGAACAACGTATTTAATGATTTAATAGATGATCGGTATGTCGTAATGTTTTTAAATAATTTCACTTTTAATTCATTAAAATTAATATTTTGACGCTTGCAAAAATTCACTCTAATATTTTCTCTAGACAACTCAAATGAATCAATTTTTACTAACATTGAACTTTTTGAATTTGAGTTTATGCCATACAAGTTAAAAAAACCAGTTAGGGAGGCTACTGTAACTTGGGGTTGTTATATTTTTTAACTTATGTAGATGTGACCTCGTTGATAAGACTGCACCTTGAGCTGCAACCGCTACCTCTACTACTTTTTACTTGTTCGGCATCTGTTTAACTGAGCAGGTGCATTTCTTGAATCGTATCGGAAGTAACCGGTCTTTGGCTTTTCTGTGCATGTGTAATAATAGTGTTTTCAATCGAGATGCAGTCGGTGGTTACGACGGTGTACTGTTAATTTCCAACGTATTTATGTATACATCAATACACCTAAATACTTTCATTTTCTAATTTTTAACTTAAACTAGGAGAAAATATAGATAAAAAAAAGTCAAACGCGAGAAAATTGATTTAATGGTGGTAATATTGTATTTTTTATGTTAATTTCACCCAACAATGCACTTATTTAACAATAGCAACGTATTGATATAATTTCTGTGTATACTTTTTCAAATTAGAAATTATAAATAAATGCGCAAAGTTTAAATAGTATTACAGAATTATGAACTAACAAAAAAATATAATTATTCTAGAATAATCGTACTCATTAATAGTAGCACATTAAAAGTATTACTCTTTTCTTGAGTATATATAGAAATTACTGAATAACACCATACAAAGTTATGCGGAGGGCCTAGAGACTATGAAAATATCATTATCACCATCTATGGGTCAATAATATTTTAGCATGAAATTGGGTATCTAGCTCACTACACAAGCCGATTATATTAATTCGCTATTAGCATTTCATGGTCACGTATAGCGTCGATTCATAAATTCCAATGCGAAAAGTAACAATCAAAAATACATCACTATTTTGAGTCTGGTTTGCATTAAAACGATAATGAGTACAAATTGTTTTTTTCATTACTGTATCACGTAATCCTTTGTACGTCGAAATCAGACGGGCAGTAGCGACAGCAATTAGCTTATATGATACACACCATTTAAGTAAAAATACAAGTTTATTGTCATTTTAAATTAATATTTAGCAGCAGACTATTAGTCTATGACGTGTATAAATACGAATGATTTCTTAATTACGCCTCACGAAATATTTTCAATTACATTAGAGTCAATCATAATTTTATTTTTTTAACGATAATGGTTCTTTTTTGAGTTGCTTTACACGGCAAATTCATTTTATGACCTCTCTTATACCCAAAATTTAATCAACTTTTGATTTTCAAATGACAACTCCAATTTTAATGTTAAAAAAACACATCATAGTAAAATTAATACCTTCTCAGCTTCGCATCGAAGCTAAAAATTGATTTATTTTATTCGATTTCTAATTAGTCAGAGCTGTTTAAAGTTTAGAGGCGTTAAAAAAAAACGCATTTATTCTTAAAAAAGTCATCTTTATCTTTATAATGTTATTTCTGTAAATCGGTAACGTATATCCAATACCATGTTGTCACCGCCTTTTAAAAAATAAGAACGCTTTTATCTGATCGCCCTAAATTTAGACAGTTATAATTCGTTAAAAATTTAATAAAATAAAAACATTTTTTACTGAGTGAATCTAAT